CCTTTTCTCTTGCTTAAGGACTGGGAGATAGTTTACGATTCACATCCGTATGTTGCTACAGGGAAGATACAGGCTTTCAAAATTCTAATTTTGATATCCTTGCTGGTACTTAACCAAAGACTTTTAAGGCTGTTTAATCTTTGCATTGCTTTGGCCGCCCTCATTTTATTTCTGTCAAACAGTCTCCATTGCTATTTATTATAGAGCCTAGATATTTAAAGTTTGTGATATTTTCAATTTCTTCACCTTTTTTTATATTTTTTTGACAGTCAGTTTTGTCCGTGGACATTATTTTCGTTTTCTTGTGATTTTAACTATGCTTTTGGGCAGACAATATTAAATTTTCTTTTCACTTAATGCTGTTCTAAAGAAGGACTGTGTCATATGCGTAGCGAAGTTCCGGAAGAGGGTTGCCACCAATTTTCCGAAATCATAATTGTCACAAGTCTGGTCATTTTGTTAACGGCACTATCAGCAATTACATCAACTACTGTGAAGCCATACTTCTGTACAACATGGAGTAATTTAAATGCAGATCCTAAGATGTCAATCTATTCGTAGGTGAAAGTTATATTACTTTCTGATCTTCTTATTTTTCTGCAGCATTCTGAGCCCTTGAGGTTCATTGAGCCGATATCACCGGCCTCCATTCATCTCTCTGGTTGTCTTCTCTTTTCAGTTGGTAACATCAAGTGTTTGTAGGTCTGTCTAGATATTATCTCTCCATGGTATTCTTGGTCTCCATTGTGGTCTACGACCTTTCATCTCCCTGGTGTATAACGTTTTTACTTCTCTGTCATCTGACATTCTTTCAATATGCCCCAACCATTTTAGTCTGTTAGCTCTCATAATGACAGTGATCAATGGTAATTTGAACAGATTATGAATTTCGTTGTTGCTTCTCACTCTCCATTCCCCGCTGTAATAAGGCTTCATCATTTTTAGTTGTGCTCCAAGTTGGCTATACAAAACCATTGGTCTTATCAACGTTTTATATATTTTGATCTTGGTATGAGACGGACACTTTGACTTTACCAGATGTTAAAGGGCAAAGTATACTTTATTTCCAGTTTGTATTCTAGATTGTATGTTTGCCCTCAGCATACTGGAGCACTTAAAGTTTGCACCTAAGTACTTATATGTTTCCGTTCGTTTGATTTACCTATGATCGACTTGTATGTGGCCAACATTTATTTGCTTTCCCTGTCTAGTTATTATCATGTATTCTGCACAGTAGAATTTCACCCACAACAGGCTCCTGAACTGCCTTCAGTCTATGCCATGTTCATGCATCCATCTCGTCATTACATGCATAGATATTGACAATAGTGAGCCTTGCATGTGCACAGCACGCACCTGTATCCTGTCTCCCTTTCAAGTGCTTATGTAAATCACTGTGTTATTTCTCAAAGTTTGCCAAACGCGTTTCTACCCCCACGTTCACTACGAGACTAAGCTCCAGGCTAGGAAAGCAATGTTTGTACGATTTCGCTGATACTGTTCGAATTGGCCATGCAGGTCATGTTAGATGGGGCTGCCAGCGTCGGCCAAAGCCTTCGAATTGGGGATCACTGGATGCCGCCGCTGAGAGCTTTCAAGGGGGATACAATTGTCATAATGGGCAGTGAAGCACGTGATCGTCTTATTTTGCAGAGGTTTGATCTCGTGGCTGAATGTTACAGCATGCAATACAAACCGCAGAAATCGGAAGGTTTATCAATCCATAAAGTTAAGGTTGCGGCAATCAGTTTCACAATGGCAAGGAAAAAGATCCCTAATGTTCTTGATGAGCCAGGAAATTCGTGTTGATTCCTAACCTCCTCTGGCCGCTGCTCGTGTACGAGGTAAGCATGAGTGCAGTGGAGACTATAGTGGGAAAAAAATTAACATGACCATGAGGATGTGGCTTTGAGCCCCTCCCTGTCTGACCGATGTGGCGCTATATAGAAAGCAGGATAAGCTCCAGCTTCTGTTGGAGTCAACAACCAAAGAGTTTAAAGTCGGCAAGGTAAGACTCGCCATGATACTGCTTCTTCAGACCCCGCAGTGGCCGCTGTCCAACACGCTCTAAAGACAGGTAAAAAAATAGAAGATCGAAGATGCGATAGAATCTGCTCAGAGCGCACTAAATTTGGGGAAAGTTATGGGTTACACACAAACCGACGCGGCCTAGGGCAAGGAAAAGTCACGTGGTGGTCCAAAGCCTTAGCCAAAGAGTGCAGAGACATGGTAACTCAGCAGAAAAGGGACTCCGAGAACAAGTTACGAGTCCAAAAAGACGCCTAGCAGTCGCAGCAAGGCCACTTGATCGTCCTCGAGAGCGCCTTGCCACGAATACTTACATGGGGTGCGATCTTGTAAATGGTCACGCTGCTGCTAGGCTTTGTCATAAGATCTGCTTTCGACGTGTTACCATTTGGCGCTAACATCTTTAAATGACTTACGACAACCGACCCAACATGTTTCCATGAAGAGTTTTGCAGACGCTCGGGCACGTATAGTCCGCGCGCAAAAAAGCCCTAGGCCAAGGACGTAATACATAACGCCACAATAAAGTCCTCAAAGACCTAGCGGAAATCGTGGACAAAGCCTGGATGAAGGCCAATGCGGGGGCCAGTCATAAAGTCCTAACGCCCCCCGCCCACCCTTTATGCGCATCCTCAAGGCTGGCCAGATTTCTAAAGTTAAATCCGGCAAGAATCTCTTGTGTGGCCACCTTATGAGCACCCTATATCAATTTGTCTAACATCCGTCCTCTGTTGTAAAAGTTTCTACATTTCCCGTACAATACCCGTATGCATTACTTTCGATTTTCCATTTACTTCTCCTTACACCTTGTCATTTTCTTCTGCTTCTCTTTCTCCCTTCTGCTGCCACAGAAATTCTTTGGAATCAATCAAAATATTAAATTAAAGATTCATGACATGAATTGCCAGCATAGTTTTTTTTAGTGCATGCCGTGCTAAGTTGATAGTTATTCCCCATAAAAAATCTAGCATATTTTCTTTAAGATTTGACGCAGGTGATCTTTCATGCAATGATTTCAATCTGTCCAGCATCTTTTCTCGCGGTCTCCCTTTGCCTCTTTTCCCATTCAAATTTCTTCCTTCCCATGACCAAGGAATGCATATTGCCGCCTTCTGATGTTGGCAGTTCAGTTCTCCCCTTTAGTCAGTCTCTTTCTTTCTTTGCTCTTTTGATCTGTACAGGGTATTCATTCTTATAATTCGACTACAGTAATTTTTTTAACATAGTCGCATTAATAAAAAATAAGTGCATAGATTACTAAACATAGTTATGTGAATATAGGCAAAATACGTGAAGTAAATATTTTACAAACTGATAAGTATCTTATGTAATAAGACATTTTCATTGAATATTAGGAAGTGAGTGCGAACATGTTTTTTTTCAGTTTCCTGTGTTGTGTTTAAAAAGAATGTATGTATGTATGTATGTATGTATGTATGTATGTATGTATGTATGTATGTATGTATGTATGTATGTATGTATGTATGTATGTATGTATGTATGTATGTATGTATGTATGTATGTATGTATGTATGTATGTATGTATGTATGTATGTATGTATGTATGTATGTATGTATGTATGTATGTATGTATGTATGTATGTATGTATGTATGTATGTATGTATGTATGTATGTATGTATGTATGTATGTATGTATGTATGTATGTATGTATGTATGTATGTATGTATGTATGTATGTATGTATGTATGTATGTATGTATGTATGTATGTATGTATGTATGTATGTATGTATGTATGTATGTATGTATGTATGTATGTATGTATGTATGTATGTATGTATGTATGTATGTATGTATGTATGTATGTATGTATGTATGTATGTATGTATGTATGTATGTATGTATGTATGTATGTATGTATGTATGTATGTATGTATGTATGTATGTATGTATGTATGTATGTATGTATGTATGTATGTATGTGTGTGTGTATGTGTGTGTGTATGTATGTATGTATGTATTTTTTTATATGTGTATGTATGTGTGTATGTATGTCTGTGAGATGTATGTATGTATGTATGTATGTGTGTGTATGTATGTATTATGTATATTATGTATGTATGAATATGTTGAGACTTCTGAGAAAAAAATTTCGATCATTTATTGTGTCTGTAGATCTTTTTGCCTGTAGATCTATCTGTCTGTAGATCTGTATGTCTGTAGATCTGTTTGTTTGTAGATCTGTCTGTATGCATTCACGTGGCTAGCCATAAACAAAAGTATCGCGGTAGGTATAAAACATGACGCACTGACAACTCGGTGCTATTAACTCTTGTGACATGACAACAAATAAATGGTTTCTATATATGAAAGTCAATGATGTTTGTCGTGTGTGCGATATACTACACATTATTTCCTGGTGGAATAAAAAATGTAAGCACTGGCAGTTTCATATAAGCGCAAGTATGAGAAGTTTCATATAAGTAAAATTTACGAAGCTGAAAGTGAATTACAGATTACGTACACTTACACACCGCTTGCTGGAGTTGAAACTGTTTGAAACACTGCCAAGTAGAATTCGAAGTGAAACAAAGAAGGAGATAATTGAATCGATCAAAATACGATGAATAATGTCAGAAAGTAATATCATCATTAATCAGCATGTTCTTTACAGAACGCTGCTGTTGTCACGGTACGTCTTAAAGTCTTTCTCTAGAAAACTCTCCAGACCTATATGCTTTCATAATTTGTGCATCTTCAGTGTTTATATCCATCTTCTCATAGACAGGCTTTAGCCTCGTTGTCAGAGAGCTGTGTTTTCCAGCCCATATGACGGCCAAAGACCAGAATAACTCAGCCTTTGTGACAGACTACTGTCTAGGAGCCAGTTCTTCTCGATGTTAAAAAAGTAACACATGTGGATAAGCGAGTTTAAACAGTTACTTCTTACTTCTATGAAACTGCCCTGCTTTCATTGAAGGAAAACGTGAAGTTACAGCAGGCTGTAATACTGACCCTTACATGCATTTGCGCCAGAGTTGCCGGGTGATGGTGTGGAATAAGAAATGAGTGAGGCAGTCCCGCTCCCGGGGACGGAGCTGGTATAAGTTCTGCAAATGATGCAATGCTGGGAGCTACAGCCCATGCTTCGGGACTGCCAGGAAAAAAAGCTGTCCGTAGTTCGTCTGTAAAAGTGAACTTGTTAAGTCGATAATTTGTAGTCTGTTGTTTTTTATGTTAAGAGTGAACTTCAGAACTTTTCACAGTGGGACCCACGTCAGCGATAATTAAGGGGTTACTAAGCTGCTGATGGTGACACTAATAGTTCGCTGTGATATTTTTTGTGGGCTTATTGTCAATAAATTAAAGATGTGCTGTCTTGAGACATTGCTGTGTGATGTTCTAACTGACAGAAGTGATGTGATGCTGCCATGGTGATTTGTGACTTTAAAAGATGAAATCAGTTACACATTACTATATTTGTAAATATTACTATATATGTACATATAACTATATCTGTTAGTAAAATATTTAAAAACATGTACAAACGTCTTTTTGTGGGGGGGGGGGGGTGACCATTGTTTTGGGAGTTGATGGCACCATTATATGTTGTGTTTACGTGGCCTATTTTACCAGGTAAGAGTTATAACACATACGTACACATACATGCACACATACACATACACAGACGCATACACACGCAGAGAGAGAGAGAGAGAGAGAGAGAGAGAGAGAGAGAGAGAGAGAGAGAGAGAGAGACAGGGTATAATCTAAGTCCTCAAGTGAGATTTCACCAAGGGAGATTGCACTATCATATCGGTTTTTTTTTCTGGTTATTCAAATTTTTATGTAAAGTTGTATCATTTTTTTTTTGGGTGTGTTTATTTATCTTTCAGCTGCCTCCATATGTGGGACAGAAGTGCAGTGTCGTTACCAGGGTTCAGATAAGTTGGCTCTGAGTCATTGTCTACCATTTCAAGTATTAGTTGTTGCCGCCGTAATCCATTTGCTACTTAGTAAGTTTTTTCGCGAAGCATTCAAGTTTTTGGTTTTGACAATTAAATATCCAGTTTTGACAAATTAATAATTCTTCTACAGGACTGTATACGGGGGTAGGGGGGGGGGGGGGGGGGGGTGAGCTTTTAAATTGATATCTTAAAGGTTTCTCTTAAAATTTTCAGTCTGTTCTGTAATCTATTTGATCTTTAATTATTTGAAAGAGAATTTTATTTCCCCTACGACAGTTTCTTTAGCAGCTCACATATATACCAAGATGATTATATTTCTTCAGCTATCCGACCTACTCTGTTTGTGTTGTCAAATTATGTGATGTTTCCTATAGCTGCTGCAATTAAAGTCTGTTCCAACATCCAGTCTCGAGTGGTGACTTTAATTGGCCCGATCTTCGGTTTCATATTTGCTAAAAAAAAGGTTGCCTGTCACATTTTAGGTCTATGACTTTAGTGGTTTGAACATACTAATGTTTTCTTTAGCAAGGAGTGACCAGAAAATACAATAATCAGAAAATTAGATAATTACAACACAACACACACACACCAAAGACACAAAGTAGGCACAGAATTGATCCTAAATTATATGCATAGACAGCAAATCAAATGGCTTACCCACGTAGAGAGAATCTCTTGAGGCGCCATACCACATGAGGGATACACGTATGCGCACACACAGAGAAAGAAAGAAAGAAATAAAGAAAGACAGATAGACAGAGAGAGAGAGAGAGAGAGAGAGAGAGAGAGAGAGAGAGAGAGAGAGAGAGCGAGAGAGAGAAAGTTGTAGAGCACAAGGATGACAAAGGAAAGATGGAAAGATAATTTCAGATAAAATCTACAACAGCAAGAACAAGAAGCAGGACTTTGTGTCTCCTTCGACACCCAAAATATTAAAAAGGAAGTGCAGAAGAAAAAAAAAGGAAAGACAAAAAGAAGAAAAAAAAGAAGAAGAAGAAGAAAAAGAAGAAGAAGAAGAAGAAGAAGAAGAAGAAGAAAGAAAGAAAGAAGAATGATTAATGAAGAAGAAGAAGAAGAAGAAGAAGAAGAAGGAAGGAAGAAGGAAGAAGAAAAACTTTACACCAAAAAAATTTGATTTATAATTAATAAACACCCCCCTTCCCTCACCAACCACCCTCCCACCCCCACCCATTTCCCCCCCCCCCCCCCCACCATACCTGACGTACAAGATTCACCACAAGCCACAAATATTATAATTTGTGAACTTAAATTAGTTATAATAATGAATTTTATTTTTCACAAAGTATTATAGCTTTTTTTTTTTATATTTTTATATTTTTTTTTTTTTTTTTATATTTTTTTTTTTATTTTTTTTTTTTTAGCATCAACTGCCATGCTGACTGCGTGGGCGAACATGTTTTCTACAAAAATGAGTTCTCCAACACCACAACAATTCGTGTGTTGATCCTGTTCACACATATACACGCGCGAACGCACACACGCACGCACTCGCACAGGCGCACTCACATGCGTAAACACGCGCAAATGCACACACACACATCAGAAATTAGCTGACTGACTGATATAACTTGCTAATAAGCATGTGTACAATTTTAAATGCGTGTTTTTCATGCACAAATATTCTTCTACGTAGAATCTGTAGCATTTTTGCTGTTCCTGTCTTTTGATTGAACCTCTTAAAAAAAAAAGAATTTACCCTTTCAAACAACAGTTGCCCCGCGTTTAATTTTCTCTATTTTCAATTGATCAAGTTGTCATTTTAGCCAAATATTAATCTCTACAAAGAAGCCATTCTAACACAGCTGTACAGTAAGAAAACTCCACAAGGGAGCATGTACAGCAGGAGTCTACCAATCATCAGTAGAAGTGATCTCTCGTCGAGAAATGTTTCGGCCCACGAGCTCCTAGACATTTTCAGAGAGTGGGCCCACCTGAGTTCATAAAGCTGAGGGTTGAACTGCTCCTGCTGCACGTATTACCGGATGTTCTCGGACAAGGACAAGACGAAATTGGTGACTGCGCAAAAGGTACTGTGAGATTCGAAGTTTTTTTACATAGTCGCTGCGGTAGCATAATTAGGGCAGTCAGCATACCTGGACGACCAAGTGGCAAGCTTACGTATGGTTTATCGGACACATGTTAGACTTTGTTGGCAAATGGCAGAGGGACACCGGCAGACAATTCGGACACAATGGAATTTAAGGGATAAGACTTTTTTTTCCCACTAGATACCCGTACCAGCTCACCAAGACCCGTCCCCCACGACGTTCCGTTGTGTCCAGAGCCAGCTCGAGGCGCTCTCTGCAGCCTCGCCTAGTTGTTTTAGTGATCGTTTGCGCTAATTTCCTCGCAAGCCTAGCTGTTTTATCACATTGTTCATAGAAGTGGAAACGATACTTTTTGCGCCTACCTCGACGGCGAAGATTCTTACTGTGTACGCTTTGTCTCTCCTCAGACCAGCCTCGAGCTCACTGTATTTCTCGAGTTTATACATGTGACTTTCATCCATTCGCGACTCATACGGCACGGTCAGCTTGATCAGGATGAGCTGACGTTTCTTCGTAGAGTGTAGGACCATGTCAGGTCGCAGGCCGGTCTTCTGGATTATCTCTGGGTACTTTTCGTGACCAGGCAGGTCAACCGCCAGTAGCAAGTTACTCGCACAGTCAAGCATCGATGGAGCTTATGCGACCTTGTTGAATTTACCTTTATAAATCTGCTTATCCTTGAGGAAGCGCACGGGGACGACGGTAGGACTGGCCTTCTATTTAACCCTCATCCTAGCTTGGTCAACAACGTCCGCTAACTCTTTCAGCATCTTGTTGTGGCGCCAAATATATATACCCTGGCATAGGACTTTTTTGCAAGCGGACAATACGTGCTTGAGCGTCTGCTTAGCTCTGCACAAGGGGCATGTCGGGTCGTTAGTCGCACTCCATGTGACCATGTTGAAACTGGACAGTAACACATCGTAGGCAGATCGTACGATAAAGCTCAGTCGCAGCGGGGCCATTCGCCAGATCCACCCCACGTGAGTACTCGTGGCAAGGCGCTTTCGAGCCCATCCACTGGCCTTGCTACGACTGTTGTGGGGCTTTTTGGACCCGAACCTAGTTTTCGATGTCCCTAATCTGCTGTATTACCATGTTTCAGCGTTATTTAGCTGTGTCTTTGGACCACCAACTGACTGTCCCGTGCCCTGGGCCTCGACGGTCGGTTTGAGTGTAACCCATCACTTCTATCAATTTTAGTTCATTTTGGGCAAATTCGATCGCATCTAGGATCTTCCATATGACACCTGTCTTTAGAGCGGACTGGACAGCAGTGACAGTGGGGTCTGAAGACTCATGCAACATCATCGCGAGTCTTACTTTGCAAACTTTAAACTCTTCGGTGATTGATTTGAACGGGAGTACCAGCTTCGTCTGCTTACAATACAGAGCCACATCAGTCTGACAAGGTGGTGCTCTTAACCATTTTCTCATGGCTGTGTTGATTTTTCGCTCCATCGTCTCCACTGCAGTCATCGTCACTTCGTAGACGAGCAGCGGCCAAATGAGCTTTGTGATCAACATAAATTGGAGACATAGATCCTAAACTTCCCGATCAGCCTGCAACGCTCGATAGCGAGCAGGCCTGTAGCCAGTAACTCGTGTATTCGCCGGACCTCTGCTCTATCAGACAACTTCAAATCGTAAAGGCGACCAAGGCTCTTCACCGGTTCCTCTAGAACCGTGGGGATCTGATTCCTTGCCACTGTGAAACTGATCGCCGCCACCTTATTATTCAGGATTGACAGACTCCTCGACTTCTGCGGTTTAAAGTGCTTACCGCACCATTGAACTACATTGTCCAATCTTTTCAGTTTATCAGAATCGTGTGGGCAGCCTCCTTACTGCCTGTCATTATAGTCGTGTCATCCATAAATGCACGTAGTGGCGGCATCCAGTCGTCCCCAGTCTAAAGGCTCTTTCCGTAGCCGGCCGCCCCGTCTAACATGACCTGCTTGGACATAACGAACAGTATTGGCTAGATTCCATCGCAATCCCAACCTGGAGCTCAGTTCATCTCGTAGTAAACGTCGGGGTGGAGAAGCGTAAAGCGAACTTTGAGATAACTAAGACTGTTCTCAGCCGGTTCAATATGGTCAACTTTTTTACCACCCCCACCCATTCCCAACCCTCACTCCACTCTCCCATAATATAAGATAAGCGAACTGTCCTTCAAAGGAATTCAATCTGTATTTACTGTTTGCGTTGCTGGTATGTTTCCGCAACATGGTTTTGTGATTAAATATGTCTGTGTTTTTTTTTTATTTATTTTTTTTTTTCAACATTTTTTTGGGCACTTATTATGTAAAGCTTTCATTTTTTTTTTTTTTTTAGCTGTGATTGGATTAAAGCCCTGTTGTGCCTATGTTCGTTGATTTGTTTAGGATCATTGACATACCTGTTGTTGTGTACTTCCTTGAATGTTATATTTCCTTACTCTCTTGTGAGACGATAATTCTCTGGTATACGCGTAATGCACAGGCGAGGAATTACAACAATTAAAATTAGAACAAGTGAAGATACTTTACTAAACAATTGAAGTACATATGGTATTGATGATCAAATACATTGAAAACAAAGAAAACATCACCCACGTCCTGTTATCGGATGTATAAATCCTGCAGAATTGGACGTTACAGGTTGAGAGGACGCTGGCTTAGGCTTAATGACTTTAGTGTTGGACTTTGCGAACTCTAATCTTAATGTCTGCGGCAGATCCGGGTCAAATCGTACACCCTGGATAAAAAGTAATAACATGTAGGCATTTAATGTTTATGCTAATGTACTGATAATATATAGGTAATAAATAATAATAACAACTCCCGTTTTGGTTATGTGTCTAAGCTCTAAGAAGACATTTAGAGAAGACATTTCATATATATATATATATATATATATATATATATATATATATATATATATATATATATATATATATATAAATCAATGTTTGTGTGTTTGTTTGCCCCCTATAGACTCGGAAACTACTGAACCGATTTAGCTGAAATTTTCAGGATATGTTTGTTTTAATACCGGATGTTGAACCATCATGGTTTGAAATTCAACCTGTCACTGTTCGAGACAGGTGACCACAATTTAAGCCATAATATTCGAAACTAATATTTATAATTTTAGTGATTTCTAATTATAGCCACGTTAGTAACTGCGCATGCGCCGTGCAGCCAACACCTCCTCTAATACATAGAGTATGTCGTGGTACAGCAAACAAGACTATATCTATATCTGTGCAGGCAATGATTGCCACAATAACTATATTAGACACGATTTCTATTTTCTGTTTTTTTTTCAAACATCCTTCGATGAGTTGAAAAGTAGCCGATGGATTGGTAGGGAAAAAGAGGGTGGGGGGGGGGAGCATCAGGGACTATCTCGACGTCTGCGCAGACATTCACTGCGACATTAACCGTGTTAGACACGTGCAATTTCTTTTGTTGTACCGTTTCATTAATATATTTGGATATCTGTCTATGAGAAAACAAATGCCTGCTGTTTTGAGTAGTGTTAAAATCGGAACACTGCAGTAGGGACACACATCTAAAATATTTATGTTCTCTTTTCGTTATTCCGATCGAGTGGTTGCTTGGTCGAATGGTAGAACACTCGGCTCTTGAGAGGGAGACCAGGGTTCGAATCCGCAGTAGTTTTTTTTTTACTTAGGGCTAAAATAATATCCTCACCTGCACTGTCGTGGCGACAGCACTAGCCATATGGCCCTTAATGATATATATTTAAAAAAAAAAAAAAACAAGGACAGGTTTGTGGGTAAAACAGTTGATAATTAAATTTGACCATTTCACATACTTATGATTTCATTTTAAACTTTTCGATTGCATGGTTACGCTGAAATTTCACAGCTTTCCATTTATTTTCATTTAGATTTAATTATTTCATTTGCGTTGGAATTTCAAGCTGTGCTGTTTACCATAGCGTTCATTTCCTAATTCTGGTGTATTTTTCCTGTTTTAATTGCTTTTCAATTGGTTTTTTTTCCCCTCTCAACTACTTCGATGAGGGAAAGAGTAGTCGGTGAATTGGGAGGGGGGGGGGGGGGGGCAAACTGATTACTGAGAAAGCTTTAAGTCACAGTAACTGCTTTACCCACTCAAAGTAGCAGCAGCAGTAGTAGTTGTGGTTGGGCGGTTACACTGTAGTGCTCTCATGTGAAGATCGCCGGTAAGGTTATGGCATACTTCTGTCGGGGAGCGAAATCATACATCCTTACTTGACCAGTCCATGGCGACAACACTAGCCATGAGGCGCCAAATCTTCTGGCTCACGACTCCCTGTCTACTCCGATGGTAAAACAGATAGCAGTGACATTATTTTAGCTACTGTGGTGGTGGTCGAGGTAGTAGTTGTACTGGTACTTGAAGGATGATGCGGTAAATATTACATTAGCCCCATTCACTACCTATTACAATTCCTGCTCCCAGTTAAGTCCGGATGGACAGGGATGTCAATGTCAGTTACAACAAAAAGAATATCGCCAGCTGTACAGTGATGATTTTTCAATCATTCGAAGAGGGAGAGAGCAGTAGTCGGTGGAAGAGGGGAGGGGAGAGGGTAATGACTGAAATTTAAGAGAACTTGAGGAGCTTTACACATGATTTTTAAGTTCTCATTATTTACTTAAATTGTTTATATTTTACTAACGCTACCTTCACTATTCTAATTTTTGTACGACTTACTTTGTTATTTACAAGTACAGTAGTAGCTTTACTTACGTCTTCTATAAAAATACAAACAGCTTTAGCATGTGATAACCAAATAACCACTTTTGTTACTGTGCTAATAGCACCATATAAACGAACACTAATACAAAGATACAATTATATGGTGCGTGTTCTAAAGTTGGAAAACCAGACTATCTCTATATAAATGTGCAGAGAATGATTGCGACATTAACTATATTAGACAGGTGCGATTTCCATTGTCTTTCTTTTCCAAAAACCTTTGATGAGGGACAGGGTAGTAGGTGGATTTAGTTGTGGGGGAGGGGGGGATCAAAGACTATCTCTATATCTGAGCAGACAATGATTGTATTAGACACGTGCGATTTCTACTTTATTTCATTTCTATTTAGCCAAACTATGCCACAGCAACGCGTGGCCGGGTACAGCTAGCATATATATATATATATAACATAGTAAAGTAACGACAAATGGGAATCTTTTTTTTTTTTTTTTAATGTAAAAAAAAAAAAAAAAACGGGTGATCGCCAAGAGTATGGGAAACACTCTTCTAGACAATGCTTTTCGTGGGTTCATCTTGTTTTTTTCCTGACTATTTTTCTACTAAAGAATTTGTGGCATAGGCTCTGTTCGGTTTTATTAGATTTTTTCATCACCCCGGGGTGTCTGGGTGTTAAAGATCCAAAAAAAAAATGTCGAGCTAGTCCTTCCTCAACCGCAAAATGAAGATCAGTCTGTTTGCAATATCACGACCTCTATTGTCCTTTTTTAAATTTACGCCAGTGATTTTGGAATACTCGCGTCTTTCCATAGTTTGTGGGGGGGTTTTGTTTTGCTGAAAATTTCCGAGGAATCGGGAAAAATGTGGGGATCACCTTTCACTAGAGGATTGCTGGGGTTCTTTTGAGATAAAAACTATATTTTAGGATACATGGCGCCAAGACCTGGGCTTTTTAATCTCT